TCAGCAGGAGGACAAAAAGGGGAGCAGGGGGATGACACTGTTTCAGAATCACTTAGGAGCTGTATCAGAGTGGTAGCCGTGTTAGTCTGAATCTGAAAAGTCTGAATCTGAAAAAACAACAAGTCCTGTGGCATCTTATAGACTAACAGATTTATTGGAGCATCTGAGCAAGTGAGTCTTTGCCCACAAAAGCTTATGCTCCAATAAATCTGTTAGTCTATAAGGTGCCACAGGACTTCTTGTTGTTTTTTTGGGAGCTGCAGAATGACACAAAACACGGTCAGGCTCGTCACCTGAGTGCAAAGTGACCATTATATGCAATGCCAAGTTATAGCAATGGGTATTACATTTCTTAAATACCCGTGTGTCCTGGTGAGAGAGTATCTGCACACGTAACACACGCACTCGAATCCATCCTTTTCTTTCAGTCCCAGTGAACACCACTCACCCAGACTGGTCTTCAGTCACATCCCGCTTTTAGATTTGCTTCTTTCCAAGGCCCCCCAAATAGGGATGTTAAATTTAGTTTAATCAACTAATAGACTAGTCGATGGATTTTCCTGCCTTAACTCCACCGCTCCATCCCTGGGGCAGCTGGCTGGCCACTCCCAGAGTGGGTGGGACACAAACCCACAACGCTTCCCTCCCAAAGCAAATGCCCTATCCCACTCAAGAACCCACCACACCTCCCTACCTTCAGAGGGTCCCGTATCCTGTTTTCCTAATGCGGGAGCCAGCTCCATCACTGGGGCAGCTGGTGTTGGCTGCCCAGCCACTGCCTGAGTGGGACTGAGCCTTGTGCTCCAGAGGCTATCCCTGAGTTCACTGGAGATCCCACTCCACCTCCCTACCTTGAGCAGGTCCTTTCTCCTGCTTTCCAGGGCCTGTGTTGGCTCTCCAGCTGCTTCCAGGGATGGGGCTTGAACACACCACTCTGCGCTCCCCGGGTAAATTACCTAGCCCCTAGTACACTCCAGAACCAGAGCCAGCTGGCTCTTAATACATTTAAAAAGCCGAGGCGCAGCATCTGGGACTGGGTGCGAGCTGGGAATCAGCTGATTCCCAGCTCACGTCCATTCCCCTGCCCCTTGTGGAGTCGGTACTGGGAGGAACCAGCTTTTAAGTTGTCTCCTGATGCCGGAGGAAGGGGGACACCACTACCACGACTAGCTGATTATCGGATAAGCTTTTGTTTATTGGATAGTTGATTAGTTACTTACATCCCTACCCCCAAACACTGTCCTGTCCATCAAATGCCTTCTCCAGCCCCAGGCGTAAGTGACAAAGGTTACTAAACGAACACCAGTATGTAAACAATTTGGGGTCATGAGTGTCTCTACTTTCTTTTGTATTTGTACAGTGCCTTGCACATTGCCAGAGCACAATCGGATAAATGATTGAATGGTTTGGGAGACTGCTCTATACAGTGTGCCACAAGAAAAAGAAACTAATCGATTTAAAATAAACTCCTGCAAAGTACACAGCGGAAGACTGAGTACAAAGCTTAGAACAGGGAGCATATTACCTTACTTACTCTGTAGTTACGATATGGATCTGGATCTGTGTACTGTACCCTAAAGTTCTCATACTGCCCACCACGCCAGAACCGTTCGATATCATAATCATAATATGGGTCTGTATAGGAATCAAGCCTGTATTGAGAAAGAAGATGATTTACAAAGGTCATCTGCACATTAGGAAAACAGTGGCATTTATAAATGAAAACGCTAAGCATATTGACGGGAAAATATTCAGACTTTAACTACTATACAAAACAGTTGATTGATATGCATCTGGGAAAGGTGCAGAAAGCCTCTGAGAATTACACTAAAATCAAACTTAGAAAAACACGTGCTCATCAACACAATTCTACAGGTCAGATGCTGCTCTCAGTCCAACTGGGGTGAATGTAGAGAAACTCTCTTTGATTTCTATAGAGGTTACTTTCATATACACTTTAGGGATGTTTCATTTTGATCAATCAGATAACTGAGTAGTCGATGGAATTTCCATCGACTACTCGATTAGTCGATAAGGGGAGGGCGCTTGCTATCCCACTGCGCTTCTCCCTTTGAAACATACAAGAGCTGCCTGCAGCTCCTGTACATTTCAAAGGGAGAGACTCAGATGTTCCCGCTGCCTCTCTCCCCCCTTTGAAATACACAAGAGCCGCGGGTGGCTCCTGTACATTTCAGAGGGAGAGAGGCAGCAGGAACCCAGGCCAGCAGGGAGCAAAGCAGTCCCTGCTGGCATGGGTCCCCCTCTGTGCCTCTTCCTTTGAAATGTACAAAAGCTGCAGGCAGAGATGGTGCTGGGGAAAACCGGCTTTTAAACCAGCTCCCCAGCTTGTTCTTCCTCCACTTGCTGCCTTGCTGATAGAGGCAGCAAGAGGGGGAGTGACTAGTCGAGTTCCTACTCAACTACCCGCTTACATCCCTTCTATATTTACGTAAGGGTAACAGAGGCCCCCCTACCTCCCCATTTAGAGTTTATCATGTTTTCCCCATGAGCACATGTGCAGCTCCATCAAGGGAGGTTCTACATGGACGTGGAAAGTAGAACACACCCTGGAGTCTCCCATTGCTGCATCCGCAGAGGTGACGTGTATGGCACTTGTGAATGCCCCAGGAATGAGCATGTTGCAAGAGCTCTCTAGTGAGAGGAAAAATATGTGATGCTGGCACGGACATCACTTTTCAGTGCGTGCGAATCACTTATGCAACTCCGGCCCTTGAATTTGGAGCGTAGCTTCTCCAATGGAAAACAAGTATCACACCTCCGTGTAAAAACGCATTCGCAAGTGTTGTGCCCCCACCCCAAATGAAATTGCAGGAAGACCATCGTTTCTTTTGGGAGAAACGTCTAAACGCTAGCAGTCCCCTAGCATACAAAGCTTCCTTCATTAGAACAGGTTTACTAACCCTATCCGGTATCTACAATTATGGCATGTACAACATACTACACTAAAAACATTCTGAATCTTTTTCACTGTTTGCGTTGTCACAGATGTACTTGTTGACAAGTATTTTGAAATAAAATTATCAAAATAATTGAAAGGAGAGTGATTAAACGATTATATTGTGTTATTTTGACAAAAACTATGTAGAATTTTAAAATGTTGTGCAAGGGATTTTAATTACTTTTGGTGGAGAATTCCCCCAGGGGTAAGGGTTCAAGTAGCTTCCCAGAACACAGGAGTCAGTGGCAAAAGTGAGATTAAAAGTCAAGAAATCCTGCCTTCCAAATCCATAGTCAGTTCAGTAGCCCCTACTGAAAGGTAGGAAGGGCGACATTCTCCCGCTTCCTCCCCACACCTTTCGAATATAAGTGTCCAAAAATCTAGGGCAGAGGGAGAGCTGGGTGTTCTCACGGGAGCCAAGTCACTGCATGCATTTCTTTCAACACTTTTACATAGTTTAAGATTTCCACTTTTCTGCCTAACAATGGATCCAGCTCCAAATTACTGGTAGTATGTCTGATACTGAATTCAGCTCTCGACTGTTGGGCCACTAACAGAACAGGTTCCGTGACTCCCGACGTTCAGGAACAAAAATAGAATGGAATTTTAAACTACACCAAAGTAGAAATTCTGACTTTTCAACCCAGCCCCACCCGAAAGTCCTGTCTCTTCTCTCACAGAAACAAAAACCATTGCTTTGCCTTCTGCACGTATTTATAAAATTACAGACAGAGTCACATTTTGCAGCCAGCCGCCACCATTGGCAGCATCCAAAAATGAAAATATAGGCAGACAATTGTTTAGCTGCATCCAACCTTGTGATAACTGCCTATGGCCAAGGAATTTTGAAAAAGCTGAAACAGAAGAAAATTAAGGGAACATTGTTTTACATTGGTATAGGGTTGAAATCAGAAAAAATTGCTTACCCATAGTTCACATTTTCTTTGATGTCCACCTCCCTATAATTTTTCAAAAGAGAAAAGAAAGGATTCACGAACCATTTAGCCTTCTTTGTATGTCACAAGACAACCCAGCTATCCACATTATGATTCAAATAATCAAATTAGGATTTGCTGTGACAGGCTACTTCACTCTAACTATGATTAAGGGCTTAAAATTGCTGACATTTTCCAAGTTAAATTTAATGGCTCAACACACAAGCTTACTAAGGAGAAAAAGTTGCTTCCTATACCAATCTGGTTACATAGAACTATGCCTCTTCAATTTCCTGAATGAACTGGAAGGTCACTTTGCAGCATTCAATTCATTATAGTTTTATTAATTCAGTTCTGTTCAACTCTGCTGCCCACAAATCTAAGGTTAAACTGTTTCTCTTTAAGGACAGTGCAGTGCCTAGCAAAATGAGGCATAGATCTGGATAGGGTCTCTGATGAGTATTATTGCAATACAGTAAAACAGCAGCTTGAATATTTGCCAATTTTACAAGGCAGCTTTCATACAATGGTAAAATCCAGGCTGAAATCACTTAAGTGTTTAAGAATCTAATATCTGTGTTGTCACCACTAGCATTAACAGATTGACTACATGTACTGGTTACATGTGGAAGTTTTTCAGAATCAAATGGGGTGGCATGAATCTGTGTTCACATCACACACCCTGTCAATACCTGTCCCGGGGAAGCCAATGATTCAACCCGCAGACCAAATTTGGTGATGAATTGTGGTCAGGTGCCACTTATAACACGTTGTGCGTATGCTAAATCAAGACTCCAAACAAAAATCAGGTTGCAGGATGACTGGGGTTAGCTTTTACTGTATAAGCAGCATTTACGGTTCTGCAACAACCTGACAAATTGAGGCATGGTCCCGCCCATGGTAAAAAGGCGGAAAAGGAATTAGGTTTAATTCCAGGGCAAATTTGTGCCTAACCAACCAACCAGTTTAATTTGGCCTGCTTGTGTTTTCATTTCCTACAGAGTCAAACAAGCTGGCACCAATGCTTGGCAAATGTATTCTCGTATGGTGATCAGTCATCTTTCCATGCCACGCACGTGTACACCAGGGAGCATCCTTTAGTTCCTGCAGAACTGATGCTTTAATTTTTTTTAAAATGATTTTCTAGCCCTTAGGAGTTCAAAAAGCCAAAACCCCAACTCCTGAAGGTAATGGATGTCCTGTCGCCTGCTGGGGTCTCCAGGCAGGCAGCCAGCAGCACTGGAGAGCGGCTAACGGCTGCCAGTCACCAAAGTGGGGTGCTGACGCCATCACTCCCTCCTAGTTTTACCCCACAAAAATCCAGCAGGTTTGATGCTTCAGGTTTCAGACACTTCCCACTGCCCCTAAATCTTCCTGCTCTGCATGTCCTGACTGCAGGGAGGTAAAGTCGTCTGGTTAGTGACTTCTCAAATGATTAATCCAGGGCTGGCTAAGATGTCAGAGGCTGTCCTAGTGCCGTGCCAACCACACTTGTTGCGCTCAGACTTACAGTGTGAGTACTGCTGCTCTGACGATGCAAGGGATTGGTGCGCGCGCGCACGCAACCACACGTGCGCGCGCACACATCAATTTTTTAGCGCAGGTTTGAGCTGTGTAAATAGCAATGGAGCACAAATCACTAGTGCTGAAGAAATAAGGCTAAAAAAGTATACAAGGAAAACCTGTGACACTTACTTGTAACGGTTAACCGTTACCCAAGCGGAGGGGTGAGCCACTGGCTCCCAGACCATGTGGGCTGTGAGTTGGAAGTCTCAGGCTGTGTGGGGGGGTGGAGGGGAAGAGGAGGAGATAGGGGGCTGGAGCAGTCCTTGTCTGCAGCCTGGCTATGGCAGGTGGGGAGGAGGGAAGAGGGCGTACTCTACCCAGGGGCTGAAACAGGCCCCCCACCCATCCCTGTGTAATCAGTTAAGTGGTTAAACTTAACTTTTGACTGGTTAACTATACAAACGGGATTTTCCATCCCCTGTAACAGTAGGGATACACACGGCTGTGTATTTCAACACACCTAGCGCGAAAGGTTTAGCTGAGGACTGGCATGCAGGGATTCCTTCCCACCCATTCGCTCCAAAAACCCAGGGGGCAAGCACAAAGCCACATCTTACGCTGGGTCTCGGACATCTCTAGTGATGCGATAATTCCAGTCCCTGAAAAATTCATTTTCTTTATCAAATTCACGTTCATCTTCTCCAATGGTCACTGTAAACCGCTTCTCTTCAAAGTCAGGCTCCTGCTCTTTTCTCATTGTTGCCTTTTTTAACACCTGTCACAAGGCACAATAAAAAGCTTTTGAAGGTAACACCATTTTCGAGACGCAGAGGGCAAAGATTAGCTTACTAATGGTACATCGGCACAAGTGAGGGGGTCTGCTGCCTAGTTAACCTGTCTCTCTTCAGTTCAATTCTCAAGAACAGTTTGGGGTTGGATATTTACTCGTTGCACATGTATATGTGAGTTAATAGGATAGCGAAAAAGATGGATCGGGCAGTCGGATGGGTGTGATCGGTAAAAGGCTTTCCAGAAAGTTAGACACACAGCCTCTTAATAGGGTTGCCAGGTGTCTGGTTTTGAACCAGACAGTCTAGTATTTGAGCTTTCTGTACAGGAAACAAATTGAGGAAATAGAAATGGCCGGTATTTTCTAAAGAAGAAATCATGTAATGTCAAGTGTGTCTGGTATTTTTGTTGAAACCATCTGGCAACCCGACCTCCTAAAGGAAGCAGCAGTGACACAAAGGCACATGGTACCTGCTCGCAAACAGTTCTGCTGCATTAGGGATTTGAGCATGGTGCCCCTGACTCTGCAGGAGCAATCTCCTCTGACTAGTGCTGATGGGAAAAAGAAAGCTGGAAACTCTCTCTGCTTGACCAGCGGACTGTCAGTGTTCCCGTTAATGTGCGCGCCTGTGTAGCCGCGCACAAAAAATTCTTCCCCCATCTACCTGTTCAGACGGCATGGTGAGGGGGCCTGCTCCGGTGGAAGGGGCTGCCACATGGCAGGGAGGTTGGGGCCAGGAATGGGACCTGCTACATGGCAGGGAAGGGGGATGGGAGGGAAGCGTCTGCTCCGGCGGCTGGGAACACGTGTGTGTGTAAATAAATCAGGTACCATGGTGGCACACGTCCAAATCAGCGCACATGACTTCATTATTGGCGCACAACTCAAAACTCATTCTGCTCATAGTTGGAAAAATCTTAGAGGGACACTGACTGTCATGTTACACAACATGCAGGTGTTTGTTGGGTTAAACACCCAAAAAGGCTCCCTCAAAAGATAAAAAAAAAGGTTTCATCCCAGAAAGGTTCAGGTGAGTGTCACAAACATCTTACCCATTGAAAAACAAATCAGACTGGAAGTAGAGGCTACACTCTGACTCCACTTCACAGCCTCCACTGAGCAGAGACACAAGACCACTCGAAGAGTCAAAGTCATTCCTAGAGGCTTTGACTATATTGTCCTTCTGCCACCACAGTAACACACACAGGCTGACCGAGTGAAAGTGGTAAGCCTATGTCACGAAGGACTCTTTCACCTCTTTAGCATGCCGGAGTCCTCTCTCCCAGGCACTTTCTGTTGGAGGGTCTGGAGGGGGTGGAGGCAAAATTTCATCAACGACAGGTGCACCCTGTTAGAAAAATAAGAAACAGGACAGACACAGGCTATTAGAAGTAGTTGGAAAAACGTGCTTTGTGAAGGTTAACCAGTATCCAGGCAAAACGTCAATGGGGCACACATGGAACGTTACTGCCATTTGCCAGGGGTTGTAAAAAGCACCTTCTTAAAAATTATACATCCCACAAGAACATTTGAGTTTGCTAAATTAATGGCCCAAATAACACAAATCCTTAGAACATAACAACGGCCAAAGGTCCATCCAGCCAGTGTCCTGTCTCCCGACAGTGGCCAATGCCAGATGCCCCAGAGGGAGGGAACACAACAGGTAATCCTCACGTGATCCCTCCCCTGTCATTCATTTCCAGACAAATCGTCACCCCCTGCAATGCAGCGGCAGATCTAAACAGGTAAGAAGCGCGGAGGTGGGGAATGCAAAGCGATGTATTCATACCCAAGGGTTTGCCGGCATCAGTGGGTGAGGACCAATGGGAGGTGCACCGTTGGGTGAGAAAGGATCCGGTTTGGAGATCAGGGAGTAGTTTCCTTTGTCGTTCACACCAGGATGGATAAACCTACAGTTCATTCCCCAAGTACAGTGACCTGTGGGAAAGCAGAGAGCTCTCATTAAAATGCGGCACAGAACAGTCAGACACCTGAAGGCTATGAACGCTTGTTCCGTTCCAGATCTATGTGAAGTCTCCCAGGAGAGAACATCTCTGATTTTCAGACAGGACCTTTCTGCTCCCCGCCTCGGTCCAGGGTCACTTTCCTTGAGAGTACTCGGCAAAGCCTTTGATCCTAAGCTTTCCTGACAGATGAATACAGTTGGGCTCCTGGCTAAGTGAAAAGGGAGCCCCCCCCCCCCGGACTCTGGTGGGTTGGGAAGATAACTACGTGGGTTATGAGCCAGCGAGTGGTGTTTGTATTTTATAAGTCAAAAGTGCTTAGAGCATTGTTAGGAACTGTTATAGCTCAAAATTTAATAACGCAGCAAGAAGTTTAAAGGCCTCAGATGGAGTAAAACCGACAGGCTGGTGGGGCAGGGAGGAAAAATAAAACCCAAGCCCTTCTATTAGAGGATTCTGCACAGCAGCAGGAGATGAGGTGTTCTCAGGAGGCCAGAGACAATGTTTAACATCTCTCTGAAAGTCTACTCCGGATGCTGTAATGGGTTAGCTGATGTTATCGTACCATGGGGAGCTCGGGTGTTTGTGATGCGATGAAGATATGGTCTACTCCTGGTTTGAATTTAGCTCAGGTTAGTAGGTAACAAAACTTGTTTTCCCCCCCTCTAGCCCCTTGTGTGAAGCCAATTGATGGACCTTCAGCAGAGGTCCCACAGGTCTCTGTGTCACACAACAACACTAAAATCGCAAGCTTGATTGGCGGTCTCGGCATCAGCGCCGAAAAGTTAATGGGAAACAGAAATCTATCCACATTGTCACCCCAAGGGTGGGGACACGGTGGCAGGACAGCACACAACAAGAAGTGTCACTGACACTACCTGAGATGCATCACTTCTGTGTTCAAGGGACAGTCTAAGTTACCAGTGAGGTTTTTATAATGGGATCACAAACAGTGCTCAGCTAACCTGAGTCATTGGTACGGCCATGTTTTCCACGAGGGCTAGTGCGCCCTCTTCAGGAACTTTACAAAACGGACACCACTGGAATATACTTGAACACTTGCAGTAAAGGTATAAGATTTGAAAGTTGAATGCAGGGTCTCCTATCTACACAGACCGGTTTCTATTTCCTATTTAAATGTCAAGTGCAAGGGTTACTCCTGGCAAATAAGAGGTGCTAGTGCATGTGACAGAGTGGCTATGAATCAGGCTGTTCTACTACAATGGGTTATAAACACACGTTATTTCACTGAAGCCGTTATTTACCACAATGGATTGATGTGGCCACAGCACAGGACACTTGGCTTTCTGAGAAACTGACTGCAGAGACTAGAATTTGAGCATCAGACATCCCACAATGAGGCTTTTAGCTTGGCTCCTGTTTGGCAATACGTCTACAACTCTCTTGTACCAGGGAAGGCAGAAAGGAAATCAAGATCACCTAAACAAAGCTGACATCAGAAGAATGAATCTTTGGCAAAAGAGTGTGACATGATGCAATCTGAACTTTCACATGTTAAGATAAGTGACGTGCTCAAAATACTTCCGATCTATTGTGGAGCAAAGTGATTAAACAACGCTAAGAATGAAAAAAAACCCAAACAACTATGCCCAGGGAAAAAACACCTGGTACAGAGGAACACACCCCTTCCAACGACATCACTATCAAACTCATGACAGGAAACAATTAGACACAGGAAGCCATTCAATGCAACCGGTGAGCTAATCTTAGCTCTTACCTCTTGGAAAAATCCCAACCGAATCCCTTTGTAGCCTTTGCTCAACATAGCAGCGTAAGCAAGTCTTTCCACTCCTCTTTCTAGTTTTATTTTAATTCATTTCCTTAATTTACCTTTTCTATTAAAATAAAAGCATTTGGGTGAACACAACTTTAAGGGGAAGTTGAAGGAACTATGTCTAATATGGCCAATATTCAATTCTGTTAAAAACAAGGCTTTACAAAACCTAGTTTCTATATCTTTTGAAGAAATTCCATGGGAACAGATTTTATTTTTTAAACATCCTCTACAGTCTTTGCAACAATGTACTAGCAATGAGAACTTAAGTGAAACTGATTAGTTTATTTTTAATGGTTAAGATGAAGAAAATGCAAAAAGCAAACTGAAAGCACAAATGCATTAGTTTATAAACTTTTACTAAGTTTCAGTAACAGAGACAAGATAATTTGTTTCTTAAAATTATGATTTTTCACTCACGAGTACTCCTCTTTAATCCCAAACTATAAAACCTAAATAAGACATTAGATCAAAGACATCCAAAAATTCCGCTACATAGTTAGCTTTGAGCACTCAACAGCCAACCTTCAACTGATCTGTCACAAATCTATCCATCTACTCACTAGCGGTCTTCTACTATGAGAACTAGCCACTTGCGATGTTATTGCCATCTCTTCGCCCGATTTGATCAACGTGCAAAAGTTTGTGCCCATTGATTTCTGACAGCAGGGTCTGCTTGTTTTCAATAACTGAACGTAAGCATTTGTTGTTTTCCACCCCAGAGAGATGTATGAGTTTTTGCCAGTACCACATCTCAAAGACTTTAATTTTCTTCGTCAGCAGTGTTAGCTTCCTACAATTCACCTCCTTAAATCACTATGGAAAAAGTTAAACTTTACAAAGATTTGATTGTGAACATTGAGAGACCATCATGTTTCCAAACTTCTGTAAGGGAAGCCACTGCTAATGAGCCATTCCTAATCCTGTTCTGATTTCTTTGGGAAGGCTTCCTGGATGCTATGTACGAGCTTCGATAATTACATTTGCACGACTACCTCGATAACTTAATCATGCTGTCTGGCTATTCGATTTTTGTTACCCATGTCAACAAGCATGTATTTTGTCAACAAGCCTCATTCAGGGAGAGTCCATATTAAAAACCAACTCCAACATCTCTTGCCTTCCCTCCATGGCTATAGCAAAGAGCATCATGTCATCAGCTATCAGAGGCAGGTTAAGAGGTGTGCACCAGCTCCTTCCACTTTATCCAAACCTTGCAGAACTTGTCTCCGAACCAAGTCTGCATAAATGTTAAAAGGCTTGGGGGCAGAATATGTTTGTTTCACAGCTGCCCAGTGGAAAACCAGCTGCTATCAACTGTTGCTGTTCCCACCATGGTCTGTTATTGGCACTAGAGACTTGCAAGGCATTCATGGAGATGTTTTGGAACCCCCATGTCTGCCAGTATCTTCCAAAGACAATCACTTCCTCCAAGCGGTACCAAACACTTTTGTGTAGTCAATGAAACACAGGAGCGATAGGGGATTCAACTCCTTGCATTTTTCAGTGCTACTCAGGATGTTCGTGATTTGATCGCGTGCGCCTTGTCTCTCTCCAAAACAGGGTCAATGCGGCGGTAGTTCTGCTTCTATTGTTCCTTTATGCAGAGCCAAATTTTGCTCATGTGTGATAATAGGGAGATAATGCAATTGTTACTACATCCTGTTATGGCTCCTTTTTCTGATAAGAGCAGAAAGATTCCACTCATCCAGTCATTTGGTCAGTTTCTAATCATCCATACCTCCCTGCAAATTTGCCATGAGATCAGTCACTTTTAACAGTTCTGATAGGTTATCTACTCTGGGTGTTTTATCAGGCTTCTTTTTTTTAAAAAAACAGCAGGTGCTACTTCCTGCTGCAGGATTAATGGGTCTCGCTCCATACTCTCCTTTTAGTCCTCTATTTTACCTGGCTTTGATGAGGCACACATATGTCGTGGTAACCCCTCCACCGGCATTTAGCATTACCATCTTCTGTGAGGAGGACTCTGCAACATGATCTTTTATTATGAAGGCCATAAAGACTTACATCTTCATTAACCCAGTTTCCATTGTGTCATATTTTCACGGGGCTCATTTTTTTGATTTTCTGCACTGAAGGAAAAAATGTTCTCTTCCTGGACTACATTACTCTGAATCAGGTGCTCCGTGCTCGAAGGGAAACCACCGTTCCTGACATAATCATTCAGTCCTGATGCTAGATCTGCCTTTAATACCGTCCCTCTTTGGAATGCTATTTGGACAGTTTCTAAACAAACGTTCTGCATTTCAGAACAGAGCATTTACATGCTACACACTAGTTGGTAGAAAAGGCAGACTCTGTCAAACACCATGCACAGCAGATCTGTGGCAGTGGAGCTGAGAGGAAAGGGAACACGACACGCCAAGTTAACGTCCGCAGGGAAATGCAACATTCTTTCTTGCCTTGTTCTTAACCAAAAACATGTCAATAGATGTCTGTCTGCGGAAGAAGTGAAACCCTATTGTTTGGGATTGAGAGAAGTAACCTGGGCTGGAGGGAACAATTCCTGGCAGGGCATAAACTAGACGAGAACTAATGAGTATTATTCCTCTCTAACGCATAGAATGTAATATCTGAAAAACATTTAAAGCAATATTTCCACCATGAAGATGACGGCAGAAGGGATTTCTTATTTCAAGGTGTGGTAATTTCAAGGCATCCCACACTTAAAGCAGAAGTTGATAGATATTTTGCATGTTGGCCCTGACAAAAATCAGCATCTGGCTATTCCGGGGACGGGGGCGGGGGGCAGCAGAGGGAAGGTGAACTAGAGCAGTGGTTCCCAATCTTTTTTATATGGTGGACAGGCAAACCCATTCACAAACTTGTGGTGCGCCAGTAACATTTTGTGTGCATATTTGCATATTCATTATGCAAATAATGAATATGCAAATAAAATGTTACCTGTCCATCTAGACCAGGGTTTCCCAACCTATGGGTCGCCATTACATTTCAAAAGGGTCGCCAAGTGTCTCCCCAGGTGGCTCTGCCTCCCTTCCTCCCACCGTTTTTGAATTGCCTTGGGTCACCAAGTCTTCCTGAATTGTCAAAATGGGTCCCATCTGGAAAAGATTGGGAACCCTGATCTAGACCCAGCCCAGCCCCTTGCTTCCCAGGCCCTAACATTCTTTGACCCCACCTCCCACCCCTGCACTCCCCAGAGCCAGGCTGCCCCCTCTAGGGAGCGTGGTCGTTACTGCCGCGTGGGCTGGGGGAGTGGCCGTTGGCAGCACGCACACTCCTTCCTCAAGCGCGTCTCATGCCCCCATGGTTAGAGGCAGGGGGGAGGGAGAGTGCAGAGTCCTGGCTGGGCCACCACCTTATTTGATTGGGAGGGGGTGAAAAGAGGGAGGCACCTCCTACTATCCCTCCTCCTGCCACTGCCTGAGCCCCGGGCAAATCAGCCTCCACAGCTGCTGGAGCTGAGCTGCCATGAACAGCCAACTTGAGATCTGGCAGCCACTGCGGCCCAGCAGTTCACGGCCTGTCACTGGTCCACGGCCTGGCAGTTGGGAACCACTGATCTAGGGTAATGCCTGGGGCAGCGTGTCTCACGTGACCAGCAGTCGAACAGTTGCACAACTGAACCAGAGAAGATGGAAAGAGGTTGATGCCAT